CAATCCCAGTTTATTCCTGTCACCAGGCGCAGGCTCACCACAGTCTGTCTTTCGCTCAGTTCTCCAGTGCTTAATTTGGGTTGTGCTGCTGGCAGGCTTTTTTCTCTGTATCTGGCAGTCAAAATGATTAACTACGTTAAGACTTTGTTCATTTTCCTGCTCTTTTAGCAATACTCACTGTGTACTTCTTGACAGCACCCTGATATATTTATTTGGCTGTTTTTCCCCCCTTCTAGGGCTGTTGACATCTTGCGAACAGCATCAGCGTCTAATCACATGTCTCTACTAGTTGCCAGAGATGAAGAAGCAAAGTAAGAGAAAAATAAAACATTGTTTTAACCTCAAAACTAATAAAAAGCCAACACTATATCTAAGGTTGGGTGGGCAGGCTTGCGTGTATTTTTCTTTCAGATTAGTTTTAATCACAAAATTGCACCACATGTCACATTTTTCTGTGTAGTATTTGATACCAATTCATTCTGAGACTATTTGCATCAATTAAAGTAGCAAGCTCAGGCCAATTTCAGTTTAATGAAGAGGATTGAAATGTTGTGTTACCAGCTAATACCATTAAAAACTATTTGCTGTGATAATTTTTTTAATACTTCCCGCGTTTTAAAATAATAAAAAATGAGGATTATGTTAGATCAACAGTACCACAGAACTGAATGATTTAAGCTGGTCTTGCCTTCTGAAAAAAGGCAGATTTAGTTATTGTTTCCTCTCAGAAGTTTGCTTTTCAATCTTTAATGAGCTTTGAATTAGTTTGGATAAGTAGGTTAAACTGTTCACTGCAGCAGGTACTCCAAGATACGTCCGTTATAAGGACATTTATGTTAAACATTACTTTAACCTTGCTGTCTAAAGTTAAGCTTATAAACCAATATTGGCAGAGAGTCATCGGGAATGCTATGATCCAGGTCTGTATCCGCTTTTGACTTAAATCTCCGGAGGAAATGGCTGTTATGTAACTGTATTTGATAATCATTGCAAGAGTATCTGCTGTTATTTGCCTTTCTTGGGATGTTCCACTTACAGAGTAATCTCTCCATAAAGGAATCTTCTCTAAATTCCTTTAGCCTTTTGTCCGATTTAAGCTTCCTTTTTCTGCTCCTTTATTTTTTGTATTTGACAGACATTTAAATCGCCCTGTAGCCTCTGATCTCTCCTTTTTTCAGACTGCCTAGATATGTGAGAGGTCCGCTCTTAATCTGCTTTTATCTAAAGCATACTGACCTAGTTCCTCTAAACGCCTTGAATAATTAAAATCCATCAGTCCTTTTACCAGTCTGGTGGTATGCCCAATGGCCTGTGCAGAATTTGCCGCTACATACAGTCCCTCACTCAGACACCTGTGAATTGATTTCTTGTGACTGTACGTTCCTGTGCTAAAAGATTATTTGATTCACACTCGACTGCGTTTGTGTGTGTTCCTGGGTCTGGCATTAGTTCAATAAATTTTGTCATTTTTTAAAAAATAATGCATCCAGCAGATTTCAACAACCCTCTGCAGTCACTGGAATTACTTGGGAATTATGTTCCCTGCAATCCGTTAATTTATGTTCTCTCTCTCTAATTCTATAATATTGATTTGGTGATGTTTCTGGCTTACATCATTCTAGATTATTTATATTTTTTTAAATCTGTTATCACTGAGGTAATCATAGCTCAGATTATGAACTTTTTTTAAAATTAGGCTGCAAGCAGTATTAGATTAATCAAGATTTTTTGTTCTCTCTCTAATGCATGTAATACAGGATGTACATCTTTGCTGCTTTTTTGCCAGTTTGTTACAATATGATTGGTTTCTGCAAAGAAGTCTGCTTTTTTTCCCCAACAGTGCACCTGACCAAGAATTGCCCTTTATTTCATCTTCTGTGGCTTTTTAAAAAAGATTTCACAATGAAAAAGATAAGCAAAGCCCAAGCACATACAATATTTAATATGTAATGATATATACCTCAGATGAAATAAGACTGCAAATTCCTGAGAGCTAAATAGAAATTAAGAGTTTGCATCTGTTTTTACTCATTCTTGAATAATTAATAAATATTTCTTCTGTCCTCTTTTTTGAGGTGCCACAGCTTTGTTTGCCAGTCTCTTCTGGGTTCTTGTTCAGTATAGTTGAACTAAAAGTGTTCCTTAAAAATATGAGTATGCTATAGGTATATTATTGGATTCCTTCTAATATAAATAACTTGTTCTGGACCTAAGTAATACCGCTGTCTTATTATCTGTAGTTGACTTGAATTACAAGTTTTTAAAGTTTTGAAATCGAGGATAAAGAGAGGTAATAATTCAGCTTTTCTAGCAATAGACCATTTCATTCATAGTCTATTGCTATTCCATCCTTATCCTTCTGCATTGCATTATCTTTTTCTTGCCTCTTCCGAATGTTTGACAGGGCTTTCCTCTTCCAGTTGAGGTTGAGCTTCCTTCTCTGAGGAAGGGTAACTGTTCAGTAGAAACAGTAGCAGGTTTCAAAGGGTGTATTTAAACTAATGCCAAATGCTGACGAAGGGGATCTTTTCTTCCCACAGGAAAGAATTCCTTGACCTGATGGATAAGTACGGCTCTCACAGTGACACCAACTCTGCAGGAAGTTCTCCAACACAACTATTAGCTGGTGAGAGATTGCTTCCTAGCCTGACACAATCCTGTAGGACAGTAGTCGTACTTCAGTGGAGTAGAAGCTTGCGCTTAAAACTCTCTTCATTTGGGGGGAGGGTATATTGGAGGAAGTGACTGAAAGTCAGGCAAAACACACATTTACTTAGACTTTAACATTTAGTTTGTAGTCTAAACGTGTAACTTGAGGGGTTTGTGTGTCAGTTTCCCCAACTCTTAAATATACTGCCACCTACTTTCAGCAATTTTAAATAATGAATAATGTGAAACGTATTTGGTATTTGTAGATGAAATGTCCCGTAAAATTCTGAAGTACTAAGAAAAATTTGAGCTAGAATACCATAAATTATAATCCTCGTGGAATTGTTGCCTAATTAGGATGCCTTTATATAGCATGAGTGATTACTCTTTAGGAAAGTCAGTTGAGATTTTTTTTTTTGCACCCAGTTTGAAAAAAATCATCACTTACTATGTTTTAAAGAATTATTCCAGGAACCCTGGGTGGCTTGCAACTCTTAGCTGTGTAGACTTAAGCTTTCTTTTGGTTGCCTGATTGCTTGTAGTTTGTCTGTTTTCTAACATGACAGTAGTCCTATTGAACTTACTTTCATGAGTTAAAATTTTGTGCTTTTTCCCAAATGTGTGTTTTATTTCTTTTTTTCATGATTTCTTTTCTTCAAGCAAAATCTATAGACAGCCCTTCTGGATCATCCTCGAGGTCACAGAGTCCTCAGTTGCATCTGAAGGATAATATCACCACCATCAGTAGAGATAATTCTGTCCCAGCACCATCCCCAAAGCTTGCAAAGTAATTTCCAAAACCAACTGTAACTCTCTTGTGTGAGCTGTAGAAAATGCTGTATTTGGCTGGTCAGGAAAATTTTGGGTTGATCACTAAGTGTTCAACTTTTTTTTTTTTTTAAATCCTGTACCTTATAATAGCATTGATATTGCAAACTTTCAGTTTTAATAAGTTATTTTTCTCATTTATTTAGTGTTTACATGGTAGAAGTAGATTAATCAGGTTGACTTTTGATCTCAGTGACTCCTAATGAATTAATGCTTCTGGTTTATGTATACCTAGGTACTCCCATAAGCCTTGGATATAAATAGTAGAGGGGAGCTTTTAGCCTTGTAAAGTAATATATCAACTCTTTTTGTAATTGCCAGAAGTAACAGCTCAAGCTGCTGATTTCATAGTAGGCAGTGTAATGTTTGAACATTGAGATTAAATGTCTGCTGTTTCTGTTGCTGTAATACGTATTTGTAAAAGCCGTAAGATAAAGATAGTATATCACCTGAGTCTTTATTGAGTATCTAGTTCTGTGAAGTAATTCTATTTTTCTTTTCTTTCTCTTCGTAGGGATAGTGCATTTCAGATTATCTCTGTTTGCAAAGGAACAAGCCTAGGTTTGAATATTGTAGGAGGGATTAACAGAAATGAAGGGCCTTTGGTATACATTCAAGAAATCATCCCCGGTGGTGATTGTCATAAGGTAAAGACCTTTTTTCCCCTCTCTCCCCCTTCAGTCACCTGTATTTTTGCCTTCATTAAGTACCTATGTCAGTATTTTATATATACAGTTATATTTTAAATGCAAAATTTGTTTGTTTCTCCTTGCTTTCTCTTTCAACAGAATTATCTCATTGCACCATAGCATGGTTACATGGTAATGAAAATTATTCATGAGTTCATTTGAGGTAAATAAGGATCTTATTCCCCAATTTATGTATGAGAAAGTAAGAAATCAACTTCTTTAAGAGGTTACATGATGCAAGGTAAATCAGCACGGGTGGGACAGAGCTCCAGATTGCATCTCTTTTTTTTTCTTGGACATTCAAAAATCACTTTTCCCTTGGACTTAATTTAGATGCATCCTTGCAGTTGGAAAGCAATGTATAGGCAAATTAGAATAAAAAATATTCTGATTGTGCAGACTAATAAAATGTATGAATCAGTACTGATTACTGTTTTCATTTATGACAAATGCAATATGTAAATCAGGAGGGTTTGTCAGCTTTAAAAAACCAAATAAATAACAGAACTGTCTGGTTCAAGTACACAAGACTGTTTATCCAAGTGTATCCTTTTGTATCCTGAGTTATTATGGTTATTTTGATGTGTAGATAACCAGGTTTTGCCTCTCGCCAAGCAAGAGGGTACGAGTTAATTTCACGAGCAATGAGTTTTGCCCCAAAACAGTCTATAACTATTTGTGACTGAATTTTTGTAGATTAAGGTTAATCCCAAAAGGCCAAGAAGGAAGGAAAAAATGCAATATTTCTCCAGGACTTTTTTTAGTAGATAAATGGTAATCATTCTTCTTTTGTTTTCTCCTATTTTGTTGTGGCTTCTAAAACATTTTTCTCATTGTGAACATATAATTTAAAGCCTGTCATGCATAATCGATAGACTAAGGCTGAGACATTAATTTGCGGTAGGTTCTAATAGTAGCAATATTAGAGGCAATTACCCAATCTTGGTTGTCCTGTTTGAGAAACCTACATAGCAAGCATATTTTAAATCTCTGCCACGTGAGGGCAGCATTGAAATTGATATCTTTTAATAGGCAGGATGCAAGCGAAATAAAAGCTCTACAACTATTTTCTTTAATCAAAACTAAAACACTAAGTGACAAAAAAATGTAGTAAAGTGCTATCATAGGTTTGAAATAACACAGCTAAAATTATGGTATGTGGGTTTTAAATATGTAAAATTATACTGGTCTTGAAAAGGTATTTTACTTCTTTCCTATGTATCTTCTTCTGTACACAGTTTGTTTGACGTGGTCAGATTGATTAATTTCTTAAGAGCTGAAGAACACACACGTGATGTGTAATTTAATGTGTATTACATTAGACTAACTCTGTAACCATAGGTGAATTACATGAATTTTCAGCTAAATTGTTGAGGCCTCTTTTAAACTGTGAGTAAAGAAACCTTTATCTTAGTGAGAAACCTAGCCTAGCGTGTTTAAAGTCTTGTCTTACAGTCCCTGAGACAGAAATGTGATATGATCCTGTGCTGGTAGAAAGTTTGCAATGAATTCAACAGAAGCACAAAGTTGGCAATGTTATTTCTGTCGTGGTTTTGACTGGTGAATTCCTAATCGGCTAATCTGCTTTTCTCATTAAGATTAATGTGGCGAGTAAGTGCCTGAACTGTCCCATGTATAGCCAAGAACATTTGGGTTTGAAATACAAATTAATCCAGCTCACAGCTGAATTAATTAGTAAAGAAGCTTCCTGTAGCCAGATGGGTTGGTACTCCTTGCTGGAAATTTTACTTTCTGTGGTTGGTTGGTTGGTTGGTTTTAACAGAAATACGCATCTGGGTCCAAATTTCTTCTTTACACGATATCTGAGATCCGTTCTGTCTCATGAAGCTTTTATAATGACTGCTGTTACGGTGATTAAATGATCATTTGATCTGCTGTTTATTTCTGGAAGATTGTCAGGCAAAATGTATAGCCATTCTTGATATTTCTTGTCTTAACAGATCCAGAGGACTATGTTAAAGTGCTGTGATTGTACCGTGCTTTCTGTAGTGTTAGCAATTAATATAAAATTTGTGGGTTTGGTTTTTTATTTGTTATGTTAGGATGGACGATTGAAGCCTGGAGATCAGCTTGTATCCATAAACAAAGAGTCAATGATTGGTGTCTCCTATGAAGAGGCAAAAAGTATAATCAACAGAACAAAGATGAGGTATCTGTTACTGTCAAACAGCTAACCCTCCAAAATGGTTTATTTTGCAGTATTTATGATCAGATTGTGAAATGTCGTGTACTGAGAGGAAATGCAAGGGATATTATTTTTTTTTAAATCTTCAATTGCAATATTATTTCGTAGAAAAAGACTCAAATGAACCTTTTAGACCTGTAAAATTATGATACTTTCATTCCTTTCAAAAGGAAAAAAAAAAAAACCCAAACCCACACTATTTGCCTTTTTTAATGGTGGGGAATAGAACATCCTTTTAGAAAAATAAACAAACCAAATCGCACACAGTGTGTGGGGAAAATGTAATTTTTGCAAGAGTAGCGTATAACCTTACAAACAGTATAGTATACAATATGTTGAAACTTTTTTAATTTTAATTTTAGGTTTGAAAGTTTTTGGGAGATAGCTTTTATTAGACAAAAAAATATTCCCGGTTATTCAGAGAATCTGCAACGTCCTTTCAGTCTCTTAACGCCTTCTGTAGCATGTGGAGAGCAACAGGCTGCAGGACTTAGTCCTCTTGCAACTCCTAATGGGAAGTTTGTTTCAATGTTCACTCCAAATGCTGTGAGTATACTTATTACTCCTCTTCGTATAAAGTGAGCAAATGGTTGGTTTTCCTAATTTTATTGGAATTTCAGTGTAGGGTTATTTCAATTCAGTTTCCATTCTAGTAAGAAAATGACTGGCTCTTTTTCCTGCACAATATTAATTCTTTGGAATATCAAGACTTTTCCAGAAGACGTGTAACAGTAGAGTAAACCACACTGATGAGAGGAACAAGAGTATTAGTTGACTTGTGGTAAGAAAACAAATCAAATAAGATAAGCATTAACTGTGTTCTTAGATACAAAGTTCTTCTTACTGTTTCTCTAGGGAGTAAAGTTTCAGAATCAGATATATATAGTTATATATTTCAGAGATAAAGTACTCTGATTACCACATACGTGTGAGTACAGTACCATCTCACAAGTTACACTTCCTCCATGATACGAGATTTTCACTTAAAAATCAGTCCTAGAAGAATGTGGGTTTTTCCCCCTTTCTTTCAGCTAAGCAACAATTGTTGTTTTAATTCATACAGCTCACCACTAGTGTAAAGAAGTAATGTTGACCATAAGAAAGAAGATTTTAAAACTACTCTGTTATTTCAGTTTTTCAAAAACCATTTTCAATTTATGGCATTTTTAAAAGTAAATAATTATCTTTGAACAAGGAAGAATAAAATGTTCCATGTCAAACACAAAGTCAAACCAGGTGATTCTCAGTTGTTCTTACGTTTGTACTTAAAATTCTTGTCCATTTTTCTTTCCTATTAGAGAGACAAACATTGAAACAGGTTGCCTAGAGGGGCTGTGCTATCTTAATCTGTGAAGATGCTCAAAACCTAACTAAGGTTTTGATAAGGCCCTGATCTAAGCTTTTTGAATGGCATTCCCTTCTCACCACCACCACCACCCATGCCTTCCATTTTCTCCTAGGGTTGTTTTGATCTATCCAGCACTATTTCTCCCCCTGGTCTTCCTTCCTCTCCCTCTCTTCTACATTAATGTGTATTTCTAGTTTGGCTTGTGATCTGCTTTAGAAATGGTATTTCACGACTTTTGATTTTCTTTCATAGATGGAAACTGGAGTCAAGATGGAAGAGCAATCTCCAGTTACTTCTCTAGACAGCAGTCCTACTGATGTGTCTGCCACTGGTAAATGCTGATTTAATTCCCTGCCACCCTTTTTTTCTGCAATAACTGTCATACAGAAAGTAGTACATAGTGAGACTCGATAGTGTTTAAAAAAAGGAATATTGCACTGGTTTTGTAGTACTAAATAAAGGACTGAGTTCAATGGATTGTCTAGTAGCTTCTGTCAAATGTAACTTACGTTGTCTTCAACAAACAGCTGAAACCAAACAAAAATGAGTGATCACAACATTTGCTATACAGCAGTAATGATAGTAGACTCAGTAGAAACCAGATAATGAACACTCGCATATAGATCAAGATTAGGGTGCTTTCTTGATTTGATGGAATTCTGTGGATGTATACTGCTTGCACTTTTTTTTTTGTTTTAAATCAGGGCAGCATATTGGAAGGATAGAAACAACGTGCAGGCCCCTTTCAATTTTCAATTAATAACAACTAGAATATGTATCTGTATATTTATATTTGAGAGTCATGACATTGAAACAAAGACAATAGTCACTTTGATCATCTCTCTAAATACATATTTTGAAAACAACACTAAGGAAAAATAGAGGTGGTAGAATTTGGTCAGAACCAAATCTGAACTGAACAATTGTAATTCCTTTGGGAAACAAATCTGCGTTGTATTTACAAACAGTGAAAATGCAGTAGTCTGACATAATCATGAGAGTCTCAATTGACACAGCAATATAACTGATTCTGTTCTGTATTTCTATACGAAGACCTGAACTATATTCTTTTTCTTCAGGCGGTAGTTAAGTAAGCATGACCTGTGCTTCTCAACTTGACGTCTAATATACTGAGAGAGGAAGGACAAACATACAGGATCTGATTCATTCTAGATGTCGCTCCACTGATGTTATTTAAATTGTACCTGCATTTATTATGGCCCATATTAGATATCCTAATTTTAAATGAAACAGTCTCCATATTGCAAATCTGACCGGTTGGCTTCCTTCCTTGAAGGGTGAGCCGACCGGACGTGAACTTTTGAAACTGGAAAGGTTGTAGTATTGAATACACCTGGAGTTTAATGACCACCACGACTAAATCAGAGGAACAAGACAAAAGGCTATTTTTGAATATATTCAGAATATAAGACTCTTGGTTAATATAATGCAATACACAGGAGCTTCATTCCAAGAAGGCCACAGTTGCTTAACATATCTGAATAACGTAGCTAGTAGAGTGGAAAACAGAAATACTTGCAGCTCCAGTTTGTACTGTTCCTTGTCATTTTTCATTTTAGTCTTATTTAATAGCACATCCTTAGTCAAAGCTGCCACTTCTCTCATGCTGCCCTTTTTCAAGGACAGCCTTTCAAAGATAACCTTGAAAAATTAAAGTAGCTCTTAGATTATTTTTTTTTTTAGTGCTGTAAGAAAAATCAGCATAATTTTGAGAAATTCTTGCACAAACTCATACACTAGGCTTTTTCATTCTGAGTTGAAAGGAAGTGTGCCAATTCAGCTGAGGTTCTAGCCCGCTGTCTTCAGAATTTAATATAGCATGTGAGAGGTGTTAGTGTCAGAGGTTTTCAAGATGTTTTGGTTTATGCTTTTGGCATATAAAGAGAATGTAAATTACTTTGAGCTGGGAAACAGATATGCTGTGAAACTAAAAAAAAAAAAAGAATTCTATGCGATTCCTTCTGTTCCTTTAGAGAGAATCTCAAACTGCAAGATCTTTAGTTTTCAAATGCTGGTTTTGGTTTCAGTACCTCTCTAGTCCATTAATGAAACAATGAATTAAGATGTAAATTATATTTATAAATAATGAACACAAACAAGTATTCCATTTTCTTCTGCGAAAAACAAGTCAATGAAGTTGTTCTATTTACATACATCTAAAATCCAAAGAAATTGATAGTTAACTGCTCCTTTTGCGTACTGTCTGTGATCAAAGGCTTCCAAAGGTTGCTGCTTCTTGTGTTGTATCCACAGGTGTGTCTGAAACATGACAAAGCTGTGACTGCATTTCTCGAGTTCCACTAAAACTAAGCATGCGCACCAGAAAAAAAAAAACCAATTGCCCTGAAATCTTACATATGGACTGCTTAGTACTGCTAGCTTCTTTTCCTTTCCTTAGCTTCATCATTTGTGTACGTTGGAAAGAAAATAGATGCACCATAAGTTATTAATGCAACTAACTGAAATTATGCAAACTTGTATTTCTGACTGTAAGGACTGGAGGGGAGGGGGTGATGGATGATGGCTTAATGGATGGTAGTTCTTGGAAAAGAGTTCCTCCCAGGAAAAAATACTGAGGAGCCTGCTGGAATTCAGTCTAAGCTACCTCCACACAGCCCTTGGTTGGCAACAGATCATTCCCTCTCTTTCCACAGTGTTTTCTAGATCACTAGGTATGCCTTTGGGAACTGTTGATTATGCTGAGGGTGTGTCTTGAAGGTCTTTCTCAGAATTCACCAGTGTGTTTCCCCTTCTGTTTCCAGAGTAACTGTGTAGAAGAGAAAATACCACAAGTATAAGCCATATGCTTGATGAATCGCTCAAAGTTATTCCTGGTTTCTTTTTGCTAATTTGCTACTTGCCACTTTTTGATGTGAAAAAATAGTTTGTGATTGATACCCATAATTTTTGTTTATTCCAATTATGTCCTTTAAAAAAAAAGTCAATCTAAATATTAACATTTATTTGTGGCAAGTGGGTATTTAGCTGGCATCCATTTGATGAACAGAGCTTCAGAACAAATTTTTCAAAGCAATAGTTACAACTGTATCATTATTTAATTTTAATTTTTTTTTCTTAGTTATTGCCCCCAGCCAGAATGATGATTATGAGCTGCAAGAAAGGAACTCTACTATTCGTCTCAAAGCAGAGAAGCTGGAGAGGGTAAATACTTATAATCTTTTTAGTTTTCCTTTCTTCCCCTTCGTGATGCATGTAAAACATCTGGAGCATATTTCTAGGTTGAGAAACTTTAAGGTATAAATTATACACCAAATTTTCTACTTGGATAGTTCTTTCAGGTTGCAGGCCAATATTTCATTCTATATATTGGGCAAATTACTGTTTTTGTTAACCTAATTGCTGATTAACTCTTCTGGGAATCTGAACATCCCTCAGGATTTTTAAGGCAGTTATTAAGGACAAAGGGTTTTGCCTATTACACTCATCTGTATTCAAGGTTAAATAATATCTGAACATGTCTCAATTAAAAGGAAAAGTCACAGAGTGTCTCTGGAATAAAAGTGTTGTCAGTGAGAGTGTACTACAATACAAAGGCTCTTTGAAGTATAGCTCTTTAATTACTCTCCCGTGGTGATGCAGTCATTATCCCTAGTCCTTTTTTTTTTTCCAAAATAAGTTTTCTCCTTCCAGGCATTGAATTATCTTGGGATTCAGCCCACGGATGAACAGCAGCAGCAACTAAGGCAGCAACTTCAGAAAGATTCTAAAGGAACAGTGTCTTTTGGAGGTAATAATTTGTTAATTGCCATGGAAAATAATGAAATGTAGGAATATAGAAGTGGTAGATAATTACCATTAATACATTTTCTGTCACTATTGGGTTGCTACTGCAAATAAAAAGATACTTTGAGGCAAGAACCTTATTCTACTGTATAAAAATAAGCTTGGGATTCAGAAACTAAGTAATTGGAAAGCAAATCACAAGTTTATCTAATTAAGAGCAGCCTTGAGAAAGTTTTGATTTTGTGCTCACAAATTCCTAAATTTTTGGCTTGACAATAGGGTACTGTAATTGTTCCAAAAATTCCTTGGGAGAGTATTGATGGTTAAAGAGACTTCTTGAAGCAGCTAAACGAATGGATTAAAGTTGTTTAGTTTGTGAGAAGCAAGAACACTTCAACTATTGCATATAGAAAGAGATTTGCATGGAGACCATCATGATTCTTCTTCTAGCTAAACCTAATTCTGATAGGAATGAGACGCTTCTGTTGGTTATGGCGATTTTGGTAGGTGACACTAATGATTTAAGAATATTTCTCATAAACTGTGAGACGTGATAGTTCTGGTGCTAAAACTGATGGAAATTTCACTTTTCCTAAAGTTTATGAAAAACAGCATCAAGCACTAGTATGTGAAAAATAATTTCTTGTACTTAACCATCCAAAAAGACACTGGATTTTCAAGTACCTTATCAAGAAAGATACTGGATCTTCCATCAGATTTTATGTGGTGTAAACAAACTGACCTTTATATTTCTACTTTTCTGTCATATTGTAGCAGAATTTTTTTTTTCTACATTCAAAATGAATGGGTAATCCAAGCCATGTTGATTGAGAATGCTGTCGTGTTTGTGTTTAAAACTTTCAACTCGGTCAACGTCAATTTTGCCAGGTCTCTATCAGGGGTTTAAAGGACCTGCAAAGGAAACTATGAGCTGTGAGCTACCATTAAATTTATCCTTTTTCCTGCAGAGACACCGTGTCTCCTCTAGTAAGGTCAATTCATTGGGAAGGGCAGGTGTATAACAGGTGTGCAGGTTTCTTTTTAATTTTTCACAGGGGTCTGCCAAATGTAGAGCATCTCTAAGCAGGTACTTTGAAGGTGAACTTCATACCACCTTTTGTTTTCTTTTCTCCTTCACAACTGATTCAGGGATATTTCATCCCAAGACCTGTTTTGAACATTTTTGTTCTTATTCTTACCAGCTTTACCAAACGTTTCTGTTCAGAGAGATGTGTCTGATTTTCATATTTTCCTGTCGAAAGCTTATGGAGGGCAGACGCTGCATTTGTAAAAGAGTAGCCATATATTGTGATGTTAGTAGTTGTGTTGCATCTAGTGATACTGCTACTAAACTGAACTTGTGCACTACAGCAACAAAATCTGAACTGTTTTTTAGATTTCGTTGAAGTTTCAAGGAACCTGTTCCCCGTGCAATTGAATGCAACGGATGATGGCCAAAAATCTGTAACGTTTGGGGTCAATGAAATTGCCAGCTTACTGGATTCACAGGTAAAATATGTGTCTGTGCAGTGTTTAACTGCTGGGAGGAGATTATTGGAGAGCTTATTGTATGTGAGATTACTGCAAATCTTGGGCAGATGTTTAGAACAGCTCCATATCTTTATAGATATGTGTATATAGAGATATATATATAGTGTTCTTTAACATAACCTAGTTTTTGTGAAGCTTTTTAAAGCAACCTGCTTTGCAGAAAGCAATTCACGTAATTACGCTGTGATTTGTTGTAAGTATGAACAACAGTGATTTACTGAGGTTTCTTAATGGAATACATACTGCTATTACCTGTGTGAGTGATAAACAATTATGGGGCCCAGTGATTTGAACTACTGCTACAGTGAAAATCACTTTATTCCAGAGGAGACTTTAAGAAAGAGCATTTGCAGCATAGGAATACTAAAATAAAATTATGTATTATTTAAAATATTGAAGAAAACAGGGGCTATTAGTGTTGTATTCTTGGTACTTTTAAAAATATTTTTATTAATCCTTTTAACAGGAAAAATAATTGTTCCTTTGGAAGATAAGTTGGTCAGAATTTTCTTAAACATTTTTAGTATTTTCAGATATTTAAATTATTTTAAAATTAAGATTATCCTCTCATTTTCTTAACAAGACGGTTTAAGATTATGGAAGATACAGTCTGCAATACATTCTAACCTTACATATTTAAATGCGCAGTTTGTAACCTGTGATTCTTTGGAGGATGACATGGAAAGACTTAAGAAAGAAAGAAATGAAGCTTTAAAAGAAATGAGTAAATTAAAGGTAATACTTAATTTTTATTTGCTTTAAATTATTCAAGAGACAATTTCTTTTTGAGTGTAATAGTAATTTAGTGTTTTTCTTTTTAATTTTATGTGCGAGTTTTGATGAATAAATAAAAAGGCAGAGCAAACTGTGAATTATGTTTGAAGATTGTATGCTTACAGTGTATTTCTGGAGACAGTGAATTTTATTTGTTATATTGAATACTAACGCAGGTTTTAATCTGACTCACAGAAATGAGACTAAGCAGACATTTCACAAAAGTGAATTTGGAGAAGTGACTGATTTGCATAGCAATTTTATTTAGAAATGTGTGATCCTAGTAACCTCAGCGTCTGAGCATATGCTAATACTTTTGAAAGAAGTCAGAACTGGAGGATAAATTAATCTGTTTTCAAAATCAATACATATTTTCACAGACATTACAAAATACATAAGACCTAAAGCAACAAATATATTTATTGTTTCTTAATACCCTGGGTTACAACCACAGTCCTATGCTCCTGAATTTCTTTTTTGACAACCCAAAATATAAAAAATTCTGGTTCTGTATTCAGCGTACCTAACTCTTGTTCTTGGACAGGACTGGAAAATTGATCCCAGGATACAGGCAATTCTACAAACTGCCTTCTGGTCCAAAAAAAATTCTTTCTTGCTATAGATTACGAAAACATTGGGTTGACATGCACAAAGATCTGTTCTTTGTTGTGTGCACAAAGATTCTTCTTCTGAAAACTTTGTAGTGAAATGAAAGAACCCGATTTACATGGAACACTGAAGTAGTGAATACTTATCATGAGTCCCTAAATGGCTGATGTCGAAAACCGGCAGTGATCCATCTATAATTGCTTCATTTCTTATATTCTTCCCTTAACAATCCACAGTCAAATACTTGATACTGAGTGAGAAATACCCTTGGTCTGACTCAGTGTGAGAATCTTTATGCCTTTATAGCGCTTTTTTTTTTTTAAACTTCGTTAGAACTGTTAACCTCCTGAAAGTGGTGTACCTACAGGCTTCTGGTATAAGTAGGCGAGTGAAAGAATGGTCAATCATACAACGTTGAAAATAACTTGACGTGAATATTAGATTGGACAGCAATCTGTTAAAGCCACAAAAATGTCTTTATTCTGCTCAGTTATTAGGTGGCTAGGTAACAAGAGACTTAAAACATGTATTTTACTGATATCACAGAAATCTTTAGTAAATAATCCTCAGATGGTCAAGAAACTTAAACAGTATCAATGAACTCTCTAAAAAACTAGCTTTTGGAGATTAAAATTTGGTTTTGTCACAGGTTTTATAAAAGCTGTTGATTATTTATTGTTTCCACCAGAACTTTTTTAATATGTGTTTCTGATTACACAGCATTATTAACAGACATATGTTGTGGCCTAGAAACATAGTAGTACAGAAGGCAGTAAGTACATTGATAGAAGTTAAGTATCGCTACTTGTAGTTTGGAAAGAGCTAACATTGTTTTAGGAATAAAAACTCTTTCTCTTTCAGACCTAATTATTATTTTTTCCTTTTTTTTTAACAGGAAAAATTGTCTGAATCTGTGAATTTACAGAAACAGTTAACAGAGGAGCTACAAATAGTCAAGCAAGTATGTTGAAGTTTCTTAAAAATATAACTATTCTCTTTTTTCTTTTTTTACTGTTTTTTGTGGAAGGGAGAAGGGAGCACTTCTTTCTCTCTTGATGCTCACATAGACTATACTTTCACACTAGTTTCAACACAAAGTGGTTCTTTTGTTACTACAAAGTGTTTGATTAGAATTGGAGAATATTGATCCTTAAGTTTTTAGAGCAATAATACTTCTCTGCTGTTGAATTGAGGTAGAACCATAAGACAAGCTGAATCAGGTAAGTTGGATAATAATGTAGTCGTACCTTTCTGGTCCTAAGTGTTCTTGAAGTGATTTTGCTGTTCTTGGGCAACAGTGTGCCTAATCTACAGTCCTAATGTTAGCTACTTTCTATTAAGTTTAAGAGTTTTAATTGTGTAAAAACAGACACGCTTGACAGTTCTACCTGCTATTTACCAGGAAAGAAATGGTAATAAGTGTTTAGTGAGGAATGTCTTGTTTCTGTCTCCACATCTATCTATAATTATGAGAGGAGAAATAAGAGTTTCTTATGAAATTTAGCCTTGTTGTGTCTCTTAAAGGAAATCTCCTATTATATGTAAATCTCACGTCTTTTATAGCCTGGATGCAAAACCAAGTAACTTTCCTGTTTCCTGCTTCTACTGAACATCATCCTGTCAGCTCTTTTCTTCTTGTGAGCTGGCCGCTTTTCTTCTCTCCTGTACTGCTACACATATTCCTTGCACGTTTCTCATGGCTATCTGTTCCATCAGATGTCATCTGTAAAAATGCAAGATACAGTTTAAAAATCTTTCCGTGTACTGTTATATTAAGATTAGTTTTATGTTTTTGCTCATACATGCAGATTTGCTCAGCACCTTCATTACCACCTTTTATCCTTGAATATGAGAGAACTGCTTGAAAGCTTTTTTCCATTAATATTGTGATGTTGCCATCTGTACGCTGCAGGACAGCAGGGAAATAGATTGCATTCTTTTTTGGATAAAATTTAACTGGAAGTATGTTCCAGTAGTGCACCTCACGTTTCCATTTGTTCGGTCTGTTGCTCTAGACTAGAGCAGATGTTCAGTCTATCAGTCTAGACTAACGCTAGTACAAGGTACAAACCCCAAAATGCAAACAGTACGGACATCAGGTCCTCAACATCGAGCGTTTCAGTTCACATACCTGCTCGTATTGGGAAGGTAGGCTTGGGCAAAGATGGTTTAAGATGGTCTGGTTTAAGTGGCAGCAATGCCCATTTTTACCACACGAGGTCCTCGTACTTTTATTTTTCTCTCAAGTACTGTCATGTGATGGCGAAGGTCAGCTTTGCAGGACAAACCTCCGGGGGATAAATACTCTGATTTTCTAGTAAGCGTTTTAAGTAACTGCTATTGAAAAGGTACCGTATAGTGCAGTGAAAGAGAAATAATAAATTATATGTAATTACAGCACCGTGTGACCTATTCTAGGAGACAAGCAGACTTTTAATGGAAATTCTAGTTCTGTTTATACTTGGTGCATTTTCAAGTGTTTTATATATATTTCTGTAGTTCAGAACCAATGTTGACGCTGAGATCCATGGTGATAATGAAGTTTAAAAAAAACAGGCTACTTACAGTACAAGTTGCCATTTAACTTAGAATAATGCATTCCT